ATAATTGGATTTGTGTGTGCTACTTAATAAAATCAAAACCCCTTGTACATTCTTTCCATCTTCAAGGTTGGGAATATATCTAAAAATGTAAACTTGTAGGCTTTGTTAAAATAATTAATATTATAAATTATTATCACAACATACTTTTCTCATAAATATAGTCTCTGGTTAATCATCTCTGCATTTTGGTTTGAAATGTGCAACTAAACTCTCTTTCCTCGAAATATTAAGTGCACTCAGACTAAGATCAACACTTGAGGGATGTCGGACAAAAATATTTGGAAATTACAGAGATTTTCTGTTACATTTGTTTTCAGTTGAACATACTGACACATATTAAGCGTAATATTCCCATACAACTGTTGACAACACAAACAACATAGTGGATACAGTCAATAAGGCTCATAGCAGCAAGCTGTGATTGTAAGGCTTTGTGTAGTGTGTGTGTGTGTGTGTGTGTGTGTGTGTGTGTGTGTGTGTGTGTGTGTGTGTGTCAGAGCCTGTGTATGCTCACGTGTGTTTTACTCTTGTGCTGCTACAGCCACCACTCACGCTTTACTTGGATGGAAAAGAAGAAGAACAGCGCCATCACTTGTTTTCAATCAGCATCTGCACCTTGTACACCAGATCTCTGGCCAGGGTCAAAATCTGCTTTATGTTGTGGTGCTCAGCCATTTCTGAAAGACAGAGGAAGACTCAAAAATACATTCAGCTAATTTCAAAAGGCAGAACATGTTCGCTCAAAAGAAGAAGACAGTGAGGTTTCCTGACTTTAATGAGCAAACAGGAGCAAACAGGAGCAAACAGTGGGGTGACCGATCATTTGCAGTAGTAGGTCCCAAACTTTGGAATGCGCTGCCCTCTGAGCTACGCACCACCACTGACCTGCCTCTGTTCAAAACCAAGCTAAAAACATACTTGTTTGAGCAAGCCTTCAAATGAAACTGTTGTTCTTGTCTCGTGTTTGCTGTTTGTGTATGTTGGATTTGCAATTGTGAAGCACTTTGGTCAACCCTTGTTTGTTGTAAGGTGCTATATAAATAAATGTTGATTGATTGATTGATTAATGAGTCCAGGACTCAAATTCTGGATTCCCATATTTCCATAAAAATGTTTATTGTCAGAGTTAATGAATGTGAAGTGGTCCGTCTTACCATTGAAGAACTTGATGATGTCAGTGAAGTCCATGTTGTTCTCCAGGATGATGTCCCTGTAGATCTCCACCAACGCCAGAGCAATGAAGAGGACAAAGTGACTAGAGGAGGCATACTTAGCCGCCCAGATGGTTTCCCAGACTGAGAACACGTCTTCATACACCAGCTCTTAAAGAATCACAACAAAAAAGAAGTGGATATATTGAGAAAGGCTCTGAGACGAAACAGGGATTTACTATGACAGCCTTTGGTTAAACCTTTAGCATAAAGCAAAGTGAATTATAAAAAGAGTTTTACGCAGTCACACTTCATGATAATTATTTCATCAGCATCTCTCGAGGACAGTAATCCAAAAATAAAGCCAACTTTCAAATTTCCAAGTGCAAGTAACTGCAAGTGATATTAACAAGCTGCCAAGTGGTTTGGCATTTTATCTGCAAACACGACAAAGAGAGCGTCTCTGCTTCGTCTAATTGGCACAAAGTCTGTCACGCCGTTTCTGCCAATTTACCTCGCTTGAAGTCCAGGAGAAACCAGCGGTAGCAGAAGTAGAAGTGGGTGTAGTCTCCGTTTTGGTGCATTAGCTCAAACAGCTCAGAATCCAGGATCTACTCAGAGAGGGGATCAGAGGAGATTCAGGAAAAGGAATAATGAGTCTGGTGGTGGGAGAAAAGTGAGTAATAAAAGGATTTAGTGGTAGTGGGCCACTACAGTGTGCGTAGAGACTTTACTGTGGCTGCGTCACCTGGATGAGAGAGCGCATGTTGGCAAAGTGAGTGTCCATAGCGCCTCCGTGAGGAAAGTTTTGATTCATTCTCTTCATGAGCTCAGTGAAGCAGCTGAAGGCCATGGCCTCTGAAAGCAGCAAACAGAGAGAGGAAGTGAGTGGGAAAACTCTTTTCTGTCATTCCGTCAATATGTGTAAAAATACACCACGTGTCAGGGGAGAACAGGAAGTGAGTCATCGGTGTGTTGAGTCACCATCGTCCAGAATGACGAGAAGTGGAGCCAGCAGATCACACATGCCCTGAACGTAGCCGATGTCAAGGTGCCTCCAGATATAACTGCAAACAGAGAGAGCGAGGTTTATATCTGGCATCTGCGAGAGGTAAATGCTAATTTTTATGATATGGTTTTCAAAATATATCATTATGTAAGTTTATAATTATTTTTCTCGTGGGTGTAAATGTGGCGCAGTGGTTTGCTCTGTTGCCTCACTCCAGCCACCGTTTCACAATGAATCAAACAAAGTTTCTCAGAATATGAATATGTTGATTTGTTTGTGGTCACAGTATAAACACTGACCTCAGAGACCCTAAAGTCCAAACAGGTGTTATTTTCTCCCTTTATTCATTTTTAGAAAATATTCTTGTGTGCACAAGACCATAAAATAAATGAATATGACTTCTGAGGCACACAGCCACCGTGAAGGAGAGAACTCAGCTCATCAAGTTTTAATCTCCCCTTGGAACGTGATGCAATGAAATTCTCAGCAGGAATCATTTGCTGCACATAAATGAACTTGTCCCCATAAGGAAATCACCTTGTGTGCACAAGATAACGTTATCGGACACATCTATACAGAGATTTGGTCTTAACGGACACAAATGAAGTTTTTGATTATTTGCAGGGAAGTGACACTGAAGTGGTCACAGGAGACATATTTGAATTCCAGGTGTGAACAGATGAAGTTAATGCTGACACGTTGTGATTGGATCTCTCAGGACTCTATCGACCGAAGGTACGAATGTGGTTGTTATTGGTTGTTTGTCTCTGTGTGTCGGCCCTGTGATTAATGTTTTATCTACACTAACAAACCAACACCATCAACTTCAAAAAGCAGATGAATAATCTTCTGCTGATAAAAAAAAAGCTGTGCGTGTTTTGCTTGGTAATACAACTCATTACCTTCCAGCTGCCGTCAGTGTTTTACCTGCACATGATGTTACGCAGTTTCTCCAGGTTGGCAGGAGTGAAGTACCAGTAGTTCCTGTCGCAGCGCTGGACGTCCTTTTCAATGCGGTGCAGATTCAATGTGTACAAATCCAGCAGCTCTTGCTAAAACAAACAAAGTGATGACAATGAATAAAGCAAGCTCAAAATAGAAATGATTTGCATGAATGTACATGAATATAAAAATATATACATGTGAGCTTACAGAGAAGGTACCAGCAGATCCATCAGAGGTCACTTTGCTCTTGGTGTCTCCAGACCCGGGCAGAGAATCAAAGTGAGGGTACAGACTGTCCATCTCCGGCTCCTCGGACAGGATGGACTCTGTCCCCTCCGGACTGGGCTTTCCTTGCTCCTCCTCCGCGTGAGGGGCTGAGTCCTCAAAGGAAGACGAGGGCTCGCATCGTCCCTTCCTGCTCCAAGGCACCATGGAAACTTTGGCTTTGGGGATCTCCTCCATCTCTATAGCTGAGGGAGACTCATCAGATTCAGTCATGGGCTCCTCTTTCTGAGAGGTGCAGTACGTTTCTCTTGTTCTCGACACTCTGGTGTCTGCTGAGAATAGGAGGTTGTTCTCCACGTCAGCAGCCACAGGATGTTGGATCATTTTTTCTTTCCCCTCAGTCAAACAAAGTTCTTGCGCTTCACTTGTGTTTGATTCGTCCATTTCCTTCATCTTTTCGACAATCCTTTCTTCGTGCTTTGTTGTTTCTTCGATCCGGACTTCTACGTCTTTCTTGAGACTATGATCCACCAGTTCTTCTTTGGATTCTGTAGCAGCTGCTGATACCATCACAGTATCCTGACCAGACACATCTCTTCCCATTTCTCCTGAATCTAAAGATTGAATCCCTTGAATGTCTGTATCTTCAGACTTGGTTCCCTCTGTTTTAGTAGCTTCTAGCTCCTCAACATTTTCCTGGGTTTTAGTTTGCAAACACGTGTCTTTGTTGGTCATCACCTGCTCCTCTTCCAGCGGTGGAATCATGTCATCATCGTTCACCTCAATCTTGGTATCTTCTGCAGTTTTGGTCTCCTCTTCGTCCTTCACTTTGGTTTTCTCCTGGCTGACTTTTCCCTCAGTTTCACCTTCACCCTCTACTCCTACAGGTTTGACAGAGCTCTGTGATGCTGGGGTGACAGTTGCAGATCTCGGGGCTGCGTCAGGTGCAGCGGTGTCGTCTGTGCTGAGCGAAGTGTCTGACAGGCCAGAGGTGACTGAGAAGTTGCGGGAAGAGGGGTGTCCAGAGTCGGGAGAGCAGGTCCCGTTCTGCAGAGCTCCATTGGGCATCTTTGGCGCCTGCTTGGCCTCTTCGGTCTTGGGCTCCGTCTCAATCTGGTCCACCTCCTCTACGGACTCAAACACCTGAAAGAACAAGTGAAAGGGAAGCAGGCTACTCCAGGGGAAGGGATGGGAAGAAGTGAAGAACTAGCAAGGTAGAGAATGCAGGGATGAGGAATATTGTGATCACATACAATAAATACATTTTCTCGTGTGTTAAGAAACTGTGGTGCGAAGGATGATGATTTCAAAAGTGATCGGTTGTAGTAAATTCATTTTGCCAGACAAAGTGAATGAAAGTGAGTTGTTGATACCTGTGTGCTGCTGCTTGAGTCGCTCTGCAGGCGAGCCAGACTCTGTCTGTCTGAGCTCTGGGAGGACTGGGACTGGATAATAAAACACAATCATACATAACCAACTTTTATTGATACACACATCTTACTTTATGCTGCCTTTACATTAAAGAGACACTAAGGTGATTTAGTTTTGCACTTAGCAGACCACACCAAGACTGTATATAAACATAGATGATGTGTCTCCACTTCCTCCTACTGTCCAGAAATGAAGCCAAAATATCCTCGATACGAGATACGAACACCGCCCCTTTTGCTCCGAAGATGTTATTTGGAGCCAGATTAGAGTGATGAAAACTAGAACTACGGAAAACACATTTTTAGGTTGGTCCATGACTCATCTGCTAACATGGAGGAGGTGGAGTTTCACTTTTGGTGAGCTTTCATGTCGTCCATCTTTATATACAATCAATGGTCCTATGATGGGTCAGGTTTCAAAAATGCAAACAAAAGCTTTTCTTTAGACCTTCTATAGTAAATGTCCATGTCTTCGACACTGTACTGGCCAGAACTAAATAGAACTTTTATTTTTCACTGCTTTACCTCATTGCTCACAGTGGAGTCGTGATGGATCATCTTCTGACTGGAACTGTCACTTGCTACCGAGGAGCACTTTGCCAAAGCTGCAGCGTGCTGCTCCTTCTCCCTCTGGCGGACGATCTCCTCACAGCCGAGCCACTCACGCATGGTCTGTTGGTAGCACACTCGGACCTGTTCGTCCACCTGGGGGGGGCGTTAAGCATCAAGGGTCAGTGGTTCCTGTGAAAATGCTTTTTGAAGCAAAACCAAAAACAGAATCGCAGAAATGACAAACCTCCTTCCTCTCAGATTCTGACATCCCAAACTGGTAGTGACCCAGCAGGAAAGGCCACACCTCTTTACGCAGCGAGGGCTCCACACCACCAAAGTAGACCAGACGCAGCAGCTCCTGCTCCTTGTAGGCCTGAAGACACAAGACAGGTCCCACATGTAGCTGCTTTCTGATCAATCTTTGGATTTTTACTTCCACCAAGGGGGTGGGATGGGGGTGTGTGACACTTTCATCTGTTACATTTGTCTGTTTGTTTGGTACTTAGCAGGATTATGCAAAGACAATGTCTTTTTTCTTTCTTTAACATTTTTTCAACATTGTTTTTAAATGTTGATTCCTCAAAAAATAATTTATGGATCTTGAATAAAATGACGAATGTTTGGTGCAGATCCAATTTAAAATCTGGATTTAGTGAATATAAATATGGTTTCATAAGGAGACTGTTGGGCCTTGGCGGAGTTAATTACTTAAGCATTTGAAAACACTGTTCTCTCACTATATCTAATATTCAATTGGACCTTAAATCATCAGAATGAACACTAACTCTACTACATAAAAAGAAAATGTATAAGAATCACTATTATTATTTTTATGATAACAACCAGTCTGACAGATCTTAAATATGACACCCAAGTGTTCCCCGTCTCCCCCCCCCCCCCTCATAAATGATTAGCATAGCTGTTTATACCAATTAATAAAGTTGTCTTAATTAACCACTGGTCTTTTTTGCTTTAGAACATGTTATATCAACAGANTTCCCTTTTTGACACCCCCCTCTTCATAAATGATTAGCATAGCTGTTTATACCAATTAATAAAGTTGTCTTAATTAACCACTGGTCTTTTTTGCTTTAGAACATGTTATATCAACAGAGTCATCTCAATGGTGAAAATCTTCATTTACGTCAAACTACCATTTTAAAAGACAGAAGAGTGATGTATATGTATTATATATTATATCTTAGCTACCACCACGGTAAAGGTGTTGTGAAATATTTGTTATAGAGTCAAACCCCAGGTACATGTGATTAATGTCCATATAAACTGTGGACGTGGACTCTGACGGGTCATTAGTTGCACTTCAGGCAAACTGTTGTGAAACTAATGGTGTGAGTCGTTTGATTAGCAGACGATGAATATGGATGAGACAGAGGAGTGAAAGAGAGATGCCAGGAGTGGACAAGCATGTGTGTGTGTGCGTGCGTTTGTCTACAGCATAATGTGAAGTGTTGCAGTGCGTTGACAACACTGATGCTTACTGTGCAGTCCTGAAGGAACGTCTGCCACACTTCTGCAGTGAGCCCTTTGTAGGCATCGCACGGCGTGTCGGGCGCCACGATGGTGTGATTCACGAGGGCAGAGAGATGTGTGCGCACAGTGGACAGGTGACGGCAGTATGCCAACCCTAGTTCACAGAACAGTTCATTCATTAGTGTCTCTGCAGAAGCTAAAGCTCATTAAATTCTGATATTTAAGACTTTTCAGGAAGAAATCACGTACAGCCGTAAAATGCCCGAGAGATGATCTGATACTTCATGCTGTCGCACAGCAGCTTCAGAGGAGCCCTGCAGGAAGATAAAGCACAGATCATTTTACTGTGGTGCTACTATACTATTCTCTTTTTTCTGAAAAGAGAATTAAACTATTATTAAACAAAAAATCTAGTTCATAATTGTAGTTATTCATATTGTGTTGAATATATGAGATACTCTATCTAATGTGGACTTAACAATGGTGCTGGGGCTAACCTTTTATTATTCAAATTTTAACCGGCCTTTTTAAAAGCCTTCACCCACTTTATCTGTCTCATCACCTCATTTCCTCCACACATTCTCATGCCAGTGAGGTAAATGTCACATAATTGTATTCTGGGTAATTACTGGCTTCTTGCATCTTTGCTACGGTTTCTTCGTTACTCTGGGCCCGTCTCTGCAGGCTTCAGCAGTTTTCCTCATTCGAGTTAGTGTGTTTATCTCTCACCTCTCATGGTTACACCCCTTGGGTGTCCCTCCATCAGAGAAGCTCCCCTGAGAACAAGAGGAACACGAGGCCTTCCTGAGAGTGGGATGCCACATTGTAGCTCCCTGATCCATCAAGTCTGGAGGAGTGACTGCAACACCAGCACACACACACACACACCAGCATTATCATCTTAAGTCATTAGGCTGCACAGGCTTTCAAAAAAACAATTACAAATGATTGGAACTCAGCTGGAAACATTATGCATGAGCAGAATTATGCTGAAAGCGCTTCAATTTGTATGAGTTTGATTCCTTAGAGCAAAGATGAAGCACATAAAAGACAATGATGCATCATGGAATTAACATGGAATCAATCTGACAGCCTGAAGTCATCATTCAATTACAGAATTACAGAGAGAACGATCAAGTGAGCAATAGCCTCTCTCAATTCAGGAGCCACATTCGATTAATCAGCTGCCCGCCCATCGCCCATTCAAAGGTTACTGTGTCGTAAAAAGAGGTTTGACACAAGGTGGCGGGACACGTCAATAAATGTTTCCGGAGGTGCAGGGCCAGGAGGATATTAGAAGCAAGGGAATTAAAACAACGCAAGCCGACAGACAAGCCGAGGTGTGACAGTGTTACAGCTTCTTCCTGTGAGCGAGGCGGATTCTTCAGGACAGCTGCAGGACCTCTTGGGGACAACCAGGGTCCCCACTTTGGAGGGGGCCTGTCCGCTCGGTTGGAGGGAGTGGGAGGAAGTCAGGTGAGGAGGATGAGTTACAGTCACTGTAACAAACAACGAGCAACATTTTCATGAACACAAACAAATCTGGAGACAGCCATGTACGGTGGCTGAGACAAACCCTCAATGGAAGTGAGTAACAACAGATGTTGGCCATGAAACGAGCAGAATTACTTACTGTGGTCAAGTGAGCCGTCTTTTGTGAAAACCCAGACAAGCCAGTTGCTGCTTAGAATGTGATGCTATATGAGGTGTTACAGTACAGGTGTGTTCTTCCTCTTTGGACGGTCCAAGATGGCTTACTTGCCTGATGCATCCACGACTGGACCACAGTAAGTACCTGAGCTTGTTCCATTGTCACCCCGCTGCCACTCACTTCCATTGTTATTGTTCTAGTTGTGGCTGTTGCATGTTGTGATGTAGTTTCTGGATCTGTATTTTCTATTAATTGCACTTGTGTGAGACGGTTAGGCCTCCGTACCCATGGGGGCTGCTTCTGTGTTAATTTGCTTTTTTCATGGAGCGATACTCACCAAACTCTGACTGGCTGTTTGGAAAGAGGATGCGGAAGACATAGTCCGTGGCCTCGTCCTCCTCCTTATCCGAGACGGATTCTGAGGATCCCTGAGGAACCCTCTTCCGCAGCTTCGGAAACACCTTCCCCTGCAACGAGAAAAATAATGAGTTATTAAAATAACGCTAGCAAGAAAAAATTGCTAAACCCTTCCAGCCCAGCTAAACCATCCATGTGAATTAAAGATGATAAGTGTCTGTATGCTGGAGACTATTAATATTGGCTGAGCGTATGTGGGTGGTTTTAATTATTCAGCTTAGCTGCAGATACACTATTAACAGTCCGACAAAAACATCCATTCGTTTAAATAGACACTTTGTGTGGTGGAGCAGAGAGAACACTAAGCCGCACATTCATCAGCATCCCTCAAACCCATATTGCAACTAGTCAGCATTTATGTTCTAATACTAATGTCGTTTTTAGATGGATTTATTGATTTCATTCTGCTCTGGATGTGAAGCCATAACAAAGACCTCCTGCTCTGACCTTTCCCCTCTGGGACCAGAGCGGAGGGTCCAGCTGGCCGTGGGGAAGGAGGCCATTCTCCAGGCAGGAGAGGAACTGGAGCAAGTGTCCTCCCCTGGGGAAGCGCAGCGGAGGTCTCTGGATTCCATCCTGACTGACCAGCACCACAGTCCCGCCACTGTCCACTACAGCAGGCGCACAGGAAATGAATCCTTTATTATCAAATTACTCATGGGGATGTATCGCTGGACAATGATTACATTTGTGTGTAAAATGCTGGATTTCAGACTAAAGGCTGGAGTGGACCCACCTTGTTGATGACAGTGCAAGTAAACTATCTCCTCGAGAGGAATTGTCATGGCATAGTCCCAAAATACACTAAAAGACATGAAAAGAAATCAGTCAGTAAAACTAGAATGGTTCTCAGTAAAGTACTTACTTATGTCACAGCCCCAACACTCCCCTTATGAAACCACATTTAAATTCACTAGATCTGGCTTTTTATTCGTATTCCATGTTTATTTATAATTACTTCACTGTTGTCAATCTTTGACTGCCCCCTTGCTGTTCTAACATTGAAAATGTCCCCATTGTGGGACTAATAAAGGATTACCTTATTTCATCTTATCTTAAATATATATATACATATACAGTATATATAAAAATATCAATCCTCTAAACATTCCGGATCCATGAATTATCCTCTAAGAAATCAACACAAAAGTCGCCTCACAATCAATTGGGATTGTTTATGTATTATCTTCAAGAATCAATATCTCAAGTGACACTAATTTCATGGCTAACAAAGAAAGTTTTGGAGAGCGTGCATACAGATGAGCAGGCGCGGAGTTGCTATCTGCAACAATCCCTTTTTTGGTGAGGTAAACCATGCATGAGCACAGGAACATAACATGGTTGAGCGATGTTTGAAAGTGCCTCAGTCAATAAACCTTCTGCTGCCGCTGTTTAAAAGATGCTTCATCAGATCAGCAGCATCTTCTCTACACACACGAGCCCCCGGGCCACACGCAAACACACTGCATTATTCAGTAATACTCGAGTGTTACACAAGTGTTTTCTTTGTCTTTGAGGAAGCACTTCACATGTTAGATATTCCTGGCATGAGGAGGATAACTGATATTATCAAGTGCAGGCTCCACTGCCACAGCTATCACTGCAGTCATAATAATTCTGCACCTGCGCTCGTAGTCCAAGTCTCCAACAGAGCCGTTCATGAGCTGGTTGGGAGTCCACTTCAGTGTCATGATGTCAGCGGTCTGGTGCAGGGAGAGGTAACCTGGGACAGCCTCCATGTCGTCCCTCTGAAACAACAATGAGGATGGATGTTTTTCATTTGATGCAAACACCAGTAAAGTCAGTATTTGTAAGCCTGAAGCAGTGAGGATTGTGTACTAATACAAACAAACTAAGATATAGCTTGTTTTGTAGTAAAAAAAAAAAGAAAATAAAAGGAAAAGAAGATTTTAAGGATTAGCATGTCCTTGTATTGTTATTTGAGAGCAGGCATGGGAAGTCTTGGATGTGCAAGATTTCTTTTTTGACATGAATTAAAAAGAGTTTAACAGACATGTGATGCAGTTTGAACAAGGTCAAATTAAATACTTGCTGCCACATATACAACTAGAAAAGCACACAGGAGAGGGCATACGTCTACCAAGGCCCAACAGTCCACTTTTGAAACCACATTTAAATTCACTAGACCTGGATTTTTATTTGGATCTGAACCAAATTTGCATAAATAAAAGTCTCCCAAACATGTCTGTCTTTTTTTCATTGAAATCCATTAATTATCATCTGATAAATCAACTAAATCCTATCAGACAAAGTACAAAAAAATGATTTGAAGAAGATTTGCTGCTGAAATGGATCCAAACCAAAAGTTATTTTTTGGTTCATGCCCAACCCCTCCACAAAATGTCATGAAAATGAGTTGAGTATAAAATGAGTTCAAAATGAGATATTATTTATGATGAGAGTCACAGTTATGCATGTCTGAGTGTTAAAAAGAACTGAAGCCAGTTACCGGTTGTACGAGCACGTTGTTTTTGCCGAACAGTAGGGTCGCCCTGTTGTTCTGATGCAGCGACTCCACATATTCTCGAGCTGACGGCGAGGGGGAGGGGCGTTCATCCATGCTGCTGCTGGAGTGCCGCTTCTGGAACTTCCCCAAACGCAGACACACAACACATACATATCAGATCACCAACATCGTGAGCCAGCGGTAAACTGGTGAATGCACTGCACTATGAATTACAGCTGGCAAATCACAACACAGAAGATTTTACATGAATAAAGAGAATCTATCATTCAAATGACTGAACAAGAGATTGATATAACATTCATTCATATGCACCAGTGATTCCTCATTTCTTCTTCATTTTGTGGGTAAATACCCCATCATCACACAGCTGTAAGAAGTACCGTGGGTAATGCGGCAGGTCCATTTATTATCAGACACACGAACACACACAAAGATACACGACGAAAACTCTGCCTATTTCCCACTAATCTGCTACGACACATACACATGGGGTTAAATAAAAAGAGCGTGAACCGTGGAGTACTGCGTGACCGGATCATGACTTACACACAGTGCAGGCCTCTTGGTGGGAGAGTCCTGCCTGCAGTGGCCACCGTGGATGCGATGTCTCTGCACCAGCTCGTCAGCGGACGGGTCGGTCCAGAAGTGGTCAGCCGTCTTCATCTTGGTGTACTCCAAAGCACAAGGTCCGACTGTCGGAACAAAAGAAGACAGTCAGTTTCTGCAGTCATCAGCTGATGGTTTTACTAACCAATGATCATCACTTTATTACCTTTACCAAGGATATAAAGAATATGATTTTGGAGGTAGAACCTGCTTTCTAGTCTTGATGACCACTCAAAGTGCTTTACACTCATTCACCCCTTCACACACACATTCTCACAGTGCATCTATGTGCAGCACTTTCACTATCACACATCTCACACAGCCGTGAGGGGCAATTTGGGGTTCAGCATCTTGTCTCAGGAAACTTCTGCACGTGAAATGGGCAAAACAGCAGTTCACCTTATGTTTCTAGGATAACTATGATATTACTGATTACTGTCATAACATCTCTGTGTTTCAGTTGATCTCACATAGTGGGACGGAGGAAATGTATATAAACAACATAAGTCTTTGGCATGGCAGGATATTTGAGTTGAAATACTTCCTATGAGGCACAGCCTGCAGAAATGGGCGGCATGACACAAGCTTGACTTGTGTTGCTCATCTCGCTCCTTCTCTATGCATCCAGTTTCAATAAACTGTTTTTGATGAAGACATCTGGGTCTCACATAACTCTAGCTCCACTGAAACTAAATGTCATTTTTCAATAGTGGGAAGCCAGTGAGGGTGATCACTTGCTCCTACCGGTTAGCCTGTTAGCACTTATTACTTCTGTCCTTCTTTTTACTTCAAGATTTACAGTGAACCAATAACACTAAATAAACAAACATTTCTTGACTGGAAATGACAAAGTGAAGGGAACCAAGGTGCCTAATAAAGTACAGAGTAGAATAATGTCCTTGTACAGGCTAGAGTATGTCCTGAAAAAAGCTAAAGTCTGCTTTAGACTACCAAGATCTTACATTTTGAGCCCAAAGCAGGGTGTAGCACGATGCTCGATGACTGCAATAAATCACACAAATACTTACTCAATGTGGCACATAATTACCTAACAAAGAGGCAAGGATAGGTCCATCTACAGGGTCCATTAGAACAGCCTCTTTCTCATAGTATTTACTGGAAGACACATGTGAGAGGGGGAATTTGAAGGGACATAGTGTTCTTATAAGACATACAGCTGGATAGAATCACTGGCCCCTCTCACTGTACCTGCTGTTCTCCACCAGGTAGAGAACGATCTTGTCCAGCACCTTTTCAAAAAGCGCTGCCCGGATCCACAGGTTCTTGGCCCCCTGTGGCGTGAGGCTGGGCAGCCGGGGCATCTTACGAAGGCTGTCCTGACTTTGCAGGCTTTGACTTCGTCTGCAGAGCCAGAGAGAAAAACACGTGCAGCATGTTTTAAAAAAAATTTCCATTAAGTAAAACTGCATGTGCTTGAAGCTAATGGCATCAGCGGATCGTGAGTCATAAAAGATTATAAACATGAATTATTTAGAAGCATTTCACAATAAGAAATAGTCCTTCGGGTATATGCGGACAGCTGCTTGCTTTCAATGCTTTCGCTGGTACAAGCTTTGAAGTCTGGTGCGATGTGTGAGAAGGAACTGGGATGTGTGAGTCCCTCACTTTGTCTCGATGATCTGCTCGAGCTCCTGTGCCTTCCTACACAGCTCCTCAGCAGGGGTGAAGCTTTTGCCCACCTTCATGAAGAGTGCCGCTATCTTGTTGCTACGCAGAAAACCTGCTGCTCGTCGCTTCAGCCCATGCAGAACACACGCCTCCACTGCAGCTGTTTGGAAACAACAAACATTGGTTGGAAAATCAAAACTCTTTTTTTGGTGGTTTTGATGCAATTTTTTGGGGGGGAAATTAATATAGTAATATAGTGTAATTCCAATATAATTTCTATATTATTCCAAAATAAGATAGCACATTTTTGGTCGTCTGGGGGCAAACACAACACTGACATGTTGCGTACATGTTTGTAAGAAACAGCTTATTTACACATCCACCAGAGACAGAGCACCGTTAGCGTGCATTAGTTTTAGCTCAGTTTCCACCAGGAAAAGAGAATGTCTCTTAACAATGTACGCATAGACAACATAGAACAAAAGCAATGACAAATTGCTAAAGTTTTCCATTGACCTTTTGTGGTCAAAATTATATACATACATATATAAGAACAGCTTTTATTCTATCACTTGAGGTCAACCTGTCATCTAGTAATAGTCCAAAAAGACAATCACATTTATGTAGCTCCATCAGGACATTCCACTCAGTGACAATGTCCAGGGAGTCAACAGTAAATGTTTAATTCACTTTTCTGCTTGACAGTATTTAAAAAAAAAATAGTATTAATTTTTTTATGAATCTATTATCTTTTTAATAAAATTCTCTGAATGATGTCTCAATGTGCATGATAGCTTTACATTAAATTACATTAGCCATTTTTTTATGAGGTCGTACCATTACGTAATAATGTTTACGTTGAGCTTGGTTTATCCAGTAAGTCTGTGACAGGATGACACACATTTGCACAATCACCGGACTGTGCAGAAAAACAGTCGCCCTTCTGCTCTCCTCGCTCTCAGGCCTACGTGGCAGGGCCTGGAGCTGTGTTGACATTTGAGTTCTCTTTCAGGACTAATCCTGCGGCTCTGCTCACATGGGGTCAGGGGGAAGGCTGGGGTTGCCATGGCAACCCCCGTTGATGGAGAGCTCGGGCTCTGGGAGAGCTGTGCGGAGGGAGGGATGGCGGCGACTCATCAGCATCACAATCTCTTTCCCTCATCCATACTCCCTCAAACACAGCTTTCCTTCTCTCCAGCCTCCATCACCGCTCTGTAAACCTGCTCTCACTATCATCTCTGTTTAACTTCAAGCTAGACGAGAAAAGTGTCACCACCATCTTTCAGGTGTTGCTTTATTTATTTATTTATTTTTTAAATATGTACACACATCATCTTTTCTACTTTTCAGCTCATCGTTCCTCCTTTCTTTACCTCCCTGAGGTTTTTGCTCATTATCTGCCTGTGCTGCTTTTTTTCTCCACATCGTGTAAGAGCAGGAGGCTAAACGTCAGAACAAAGCGTAACATTAAAAGGTCTCAGATATAGCTCATCCTCATTGCTCTGTCATTGTTACCACTAACTAGTCTCAGATGGCCGAGAAAGATGCAGATAAAGCGGCTCCCAAACCTTCACACCTTTTTCACAGCTAATGTCTCGGCTCTAAGACACAGATAACAACTTTAATTCCCAGAGTGCCACAGTGTTTGCACAAACAACCTTCATACGAAGTGAACAGCAGCATCACTGGTTATCTAAAGACAATAATTAGCGTATCGCACAGCCGTGAAATTTGTTTAATCGCCACGGACAACGTATAGATAAAAACATGATGGTGTGAGAGACGCGGGCCGGAGTCGCCCACATACGAGACCATCAACATATTAACATCAAATGTTTTATCTATTGCAAACAGCAGCAAGCGAAAATGCTCATCATACCAGCGGGATCAGCCCTTTGTGCAGTCGCTCCTTGTAAAAACAGCTAACACAGTAAATTATCTCTAATCATCCTGTATCTGTGGCAACTAAGTGCATAAACACAAAGCCACAGTCGCTCCACTTCACTGAGACCAACAAAGAGGCACAGACACAAGGTCCTAATATGGACACTTCTGAAATGATTCATCAAACTTATATAAGTCAATAAGTTACTGATCAATTCAGTATTTGTATTATTCATCAGATGTGATAACATCATACAGCTTCTGCTATACTTTAATGTAGTTGGATATTGTTCACTATATGGATCATTAATTGATGATGTAAACACGTATAAATCATTTATAGAAACTTTTATTAAGTTTGATACTCTATAATAATCTTATATCATATTATTCGACTTTCATGTGTTCGCGCCTACAAAAGAAGGTGAGGAGAATTGTTCTGACGTGTCATGGCTCATATACCATAAGAAGCGAGGGCTAGCAATTCAATGAACAGAGTTTCATCAATAAAACTGTAGCTCTAAATTCGACAGCGGCGATCTGATTTCCCTCCACAGCGTCTGCATTTTCTCATTTACTCTTCCCGGGCAGCTTATCAAAGTATCCAAGATGGTGGAGGCTAATTGCTCCCTGGTGAGCTGGCCGAGCTCATCCCCCATCCTCCACTCTCTCAATCACTCAGTCACTCTGGGCTGTGAACAGACCACAGCTGAAAGAGGACGTGAAGTAACAAGAGCCACTGCAGCGATCACAGGGAGAGTCAGGTGGAGGAGGAAGCTGCGGCTGTCCACAAAGCAGAGAGATGAGAGGGTCCTCCTGAGCTGAGCTGCAACGTGTCCACTGGGAGGTACGATAGTGGTAGAGGAAAAGATATGGCCCAGTATCACACTGTAATAAGAAATAAAGTCTGTGTTCTGTGACAAATTATTTTCATAACCCTCACAGAGAACAATAAAAGTATAAAGAGAGGTTTGCCTAAGCTGATTATTGGGTGGGATGGATGTGCAACGTCGTTCTCTTGCACTGGTTTAATAAGGTTTTCAAGCTGCGCCGCAAATTCTCCGCACACTGTGAAAAGCAGATTAGCTCTGCTTGGATGGGAGGAGATCGTGATCTTACCTCCACGAAGCACAAAACATACGTGTGTACTGTACATTATATTGACTGGGAGACTGTTTTCTCTTCATAATATTTAGTTTTATTGCCTCCCCCAAGAGATTATGTTTTCATTGTGGTTTGTCTCTGAGGATGATTACACAAAAATCATACATTTTGGCGTGAATCTGGACAAAGGGGTGGATCCAGGATTTCTGTCTTACTTTCTTTAATATTGCATTATTTTTAAAGTTTTCACAGTTTTCCCATTGAATAATTCATGGATTTTGAAAGAAAAAAATCTGACATAGGGAACTGATATCTATGAAATTATGTGCAACTTGATTGAATTTAATGAGACTGTCAGACTTTAGCAGAGGTTTCCGCTCTAATTGTCTTTTACCTTTATTGACCTCATATGAGTCTGGGCATATACTGAATACCCACTACATCTTACTGTTGTCAGTCTTTCTATTTGTATAAATGTATAAAATTGTAAATTAAGTCAGAATACTCCCCGTCTACAATTGAATATTGCTTACTGGGTTAAAGTAATCAGAAAATGCTGTTTACATTACAGTTTCTTGTCCAGACTATTGTCTTGATAAAGTTCATTCAGCATATGGGTGAAACATCAAACATTTCCTTTGACTCTGAGTGGGTATGTGAGCAAACCTCACCTCCTGATATGGACATGTACTAGAACAGAATATACGGCTGTAACAATAGTAAGGACTAAACTAAATTGGAAATGCAGTGGCCTCATTGGAAATTAAAATTGACCACTACAGTTCCATAATTATGACGATTTCTTTTTTCTGTATGTATTACTCTGCTTCATCGTGTTTTTCCATGTTAGATTTCTGTCATTTGTGACGAAGGTTACATAGACGACAACATGGTGAAGGTTAAAATGAATCAGTCACGTATATGAGGTAACTGACAGATGGTAGCACAAGGTTAGACATTCAGCTCCACAGATGAAGCTTCACATGAAATTTCACAGTAACTTTCATCAAACAAAAGAGACAACATCAGTGTTCCAGAGTTGTTGAATTTGAAAAAACAAATGAAAGGGATTCATTTGTATTTTTGTTGACTCACCACAAAAAGACACAATATGACTGCTGTCTTCGTGAACAAATTTCCTGGTGACGGCTTCTTCCATAATCTGCTTCACCTGTCAATGACATAGCAGATGCTCGATGAGTCACTCATTAATATGCGACTGTCATCTCACACAGACACACACACACAAACAACATGTGTATGAGAGAATAATTATGAGAGTTTATAAAACTAAAGCACGTCTGGGAATCAGGGGAGGACTGGGGGTAAAAAGTTAATAGGCAGAAGAACACAGCAGAGTGGGGGGAACGTGCATGTTAAGTTGCTGGATGAGTCACCAGCTCTACTGGGAAATGAGGTGGTACATTTGAGGGTGCTTGTGGGGGGGCTTCTCCACTGTGATCTGACAGCAGGGACAACCAAAATCAATAGTTAGGATGACTGATTAATCAATCCTTCCAGTGGCTTTGGAGACGCCCCCCATGTGTGGGCACCGCTCTGGATCTGCATGGGGACTATCAACCTCCGGACAGAGTCGCGCAGACGTCTCTAATTTCCTGCTGAGCTGTGCCTCTCCACGGTGGCCACGCCACACTGCCAACTTCATCCTCTTCCCTGTGAGCCAGCTCAGTGTTCATGATGCACCAGCTGTCAAGCAGTATCAGTTTTCACGGTTTGATATTTACACCTTCATCATAAAATTTTCCAGGAGATAAAATTCTGTCTAATTTCCCACAACGGCTCAATTTTATGGACCAATAATTTTAATATCTGGTTTACTTGCTGATCACAGGTGGATTATAATACCTGTAAATTTCAATGAATGTATTACATAAATGTTTACAGTGATAAACAAATGGAATATGAGTTTAAGCATTCATTCTTAACAGGGTCATTAGAATTACAATGTATTTTAAAATGTTGTAGTAAACATTAGTCAGAAGGATGGGCTCTGTAACAGTGTCACACAAGATTGGATTGTTTTCATTGGTGCACTGCTATGCTGCATTTCAATGTTAACCTAATAGCTGCTGAGCAAATGTAGCTACAGTACAGAGGTTCTCTGAGAAATGTAGAAGAATATAACAATATGACCTTAAAACTTACTTGAGCAAAGGTAGATTCTACCACTTATAACTTAATTGATAAATGTGTCACTGATGAATGAATGAATATGAATATCTGTTTCTGGATGATCCAAAGAGTAATCCAAAGAATGAAAGGGGAAGAAAGAAAGAAAGAAAGAATGAAAGAAAGAGAGGGAGGCAGGGAGGAGTCATGGGAAATGGAAAGAGAGGAGAGAAAGAAAGAGTTCTTCTAACTGACATTAAAACCTTGTTAAACCAGAGATTTTGAAATAATAGATATCGTGCCTCAGTATAAATAGTATTATATCACAATATATACAACATCAACTTCCCTCATCCTGACTCAAATTAACAAATGTGGCTTTTTCACACCAGCACAAGTGTGATGCTCAGCATCAACAGAAATGATTCTGCAGAAACAACAGAGACTCTGTCGTGATGTGCTCATGGACAGACCTATACCAAAGCCTGCGTGCACACACGCACGCACGCACGCACGCACGCACNCACACACACACACACACACACACACACACAGGGGATGTATATGAACATGGTTTTCTGACGCAGAGGGCTGACTGCCAACTTGAAGCCTCAGACTACAGATGTTTTTTCATCTGGGCGACAGATCAGGTCTCTGAGGAATTCATATGGTGAAGTGTCTGAGCACTGACAACCTGTGGGTTTCCATGGAGACGGCACGTGTAGCACAGCAGATCACTTCCGCCTAAGAGGATGCGACAACATTCATTCAACTCTGAAATAAACAAAAACAACCGTGGCTCCTTTAACTCCACCAACTCCATAATTTCCATCTCCAGCCTCATATAGAGACCTAATGTATATATGATATCGTTAAAATACAAAAAGATACAAATCCATAATGGTCAATTTCACCAGACTTTGTCGATGTGCATGACGTGACAACAGTCATTAAATGTCTGTGCCGCAGCAGCGAAGCCTGATGAATCTACTCTAACTAAGCAATGCAGCTTGGAGGCATCACAGAGTGATAAAAGATCTTCAGATTATTTCCAATTAACTCCTGCAACAGCAGATGCAAGGAATAAGAGGCAGAGAGAAAGCCACATCCATTAACACCCACCCTTCATTATTCATCGTCTTTGTGGCCACTGATGAATGAAGGGTGGAGGATACAGCGCGGAAAAAAAGAAGAGAAATCTTCGTCACTGTTATTCATGTTAATCCAGGCGCACACGTGGAGCTACAGCTCTGATGTGAGGCTATCTATTTGAATTACGATTCCATTGTTTGAATGATGATTTAATAATGAACGAGCAGACTATTACATGGCAAGAAGCACAAAATCAATGCAACCACTACACAGGGTCTATTCAGGAGCTCTTCTGGAGCTTTTGATTGTATCACATTATCTTCCTCTGCACATGAAGTAGCCTGTTTGTCATGGAAATGCAGACATTCAAAATGTACAGTATCTCTGAGCACTTGATGGAATTCTTATTGTAGGAGCCAAAGTTAATATTAAGCCCTTGTTGGTTCTTGTTTATTCAGGCTGCAGATGATTGTTTTATAATAACATCTGGGTAAGGGATGTGTTGTTTTTTTTACCTGTTCAATTTTGTTGGCTGGTTACGCACAAAGACGAGTGCTACTATATGTTTTGTTGAATGTTACATTTTGCTTTAAGTTTAACAGCAGCAAAATGCATCTTGGACACATGCATCCTTTTTTGAACTTGTCACAGTTAAGCTTAACAGCATCTTTTTTTTTTCCCATGGACAATAGTAAGTAGCTACACTAGTTTCTGTTGGTGGTATATGTGTGCAGTGGTTAGCACTGTTGCCTCATAGCAACAAGTTTGAATCCCAGTGCTCCGGCTTTCTCCCACAGTCCAAAAACTTGCAGGTTAGCGACAGAGTAATAAAGGATAACACATTTTACATTGGCATTTGTTCGGGATATACTGGCAACCTGCAGGGTGCGCTCTCTACCAAGGACAGCTTTACAGGATGAGGAGGCAACGTTTGCCACTGAAACATTCACATGTGTACGACCAGGAACTAAGCAGCAGATGAAGGATGGATGGAACTGGAAAGGGAAAGAGTAAAGTACGAGTATCGAACAGAAATATTTTTTTTACGCTTGAGGTGGACCATAAAGCTGAGTTTCTGAGGTAAACACATTTCCCTCACACCACATTGATCTTATCCTGCAATGTGCATCAACCCTGTTTTCTCTCAATGACCATGAATGCAGAAAGTAGAAAACACAGAACAAGACTGCAGGATTACCTCCGTCTCCTCTGTCTGAAACCTTGTCAGACTGGAAAGTAAATGCTTTGTGTTTTCTAGCAGCCCCCCCCCCCCACTCCTTTGGCAAACACAGATGTGTATTTGCGTTCGAGTGCATGAGTGATATACACAAAGACAGAGGGAGGAGCACAATCAAAGCAAGATAGAGAGAGCGAGGCAGACGGAGATGGGTTCTGTATCAAAGCCGAGACAAATAAGGGTTTTCATCTAAACCAATTTTGAGCCAGAAGGTAATTCTGCTGCTACAGACCTTTCGCTCTCTGGATACTGAGCTATATCCAAGTATATTTGAGCAGACAGGTGGCACATAACCAGCTGGACCAGGAGAGCGTGAGAACACAGAGCATAGAGACGCCATATGGTGGAACCCACGCAAAGTTATAATAGTTATAATAATCATAAACTAATGGGAAACCAGCACAAACAACATCTTTCCTCTTTGGGGAAGAGATATCTCTGAAAAAGAGCTTTCAGTAAAATTATCAAACTAAAAGATAAATGTGGATTTTCATGAAGCTGCAGGGACGAAGTGAGTCCATCTCCAGAGTCCATCAGCAGGCTGCAATTGTGGAAAACAGTGAAACAGCCACTGGTGAATGAATCTCAGCGAGGCCGTACCAGCACACAGGAAGCAGGTTTAATCATGGGGAGGGTCTGGTCTCTGCTGATAAGACTGCAAACCGGACTCAGAGGAAAATAAATCAGGACAAAGTCTCTACTTTCCTCTTTTCACGAGATCCAGGATGTGATTTTTATCTGTGTGTTTGGCAGAATTAAAGTCATATTACTTACGAGGCAATCAGAGGTGAAACTAATAAAAAAAAGAAAAGAGGCAGGTTAGAAAAATGAGGGGAATCAGGAAAAAAAATGAGTATAACCCTGTCTGAGAACATTGATGTTCCTCTGCTTCAATGAGCTTTTGACTCAGACCAACAGCAGTGGAAGAGGAAAGCTGTGATTACTGTGAATGTAAATGTTAAATGAAGTGTTGGTGATATTGAGAAAACCTTCCTTGAACAAACAGTGAGAAACAAAAACCTCACGTGACAAGGTTCACGTCACTGTGGAACAACGGAGACACACAATCTGATGCTCATCTATCATTTCACAATGAATGAACTATTATCTAATTTATTGCTTCAACTATAAATATTCAATATCTTAATCACTATGGAAACTTGAATGTGTTTTACTGCACCAGTTATAACTTCCAATCATATCACAGCAAACATAAACCATCAGAATCAAACTTTTGTTTCATTAAATGTACAATATGTAACTTCTGCCGCTAAGCGTCTCTCGATCAAAACAATGACAAAAGACCTAGTTTGATGATGTCCTGAAGCAGCAAGGGATCATGGGAGTTGTCTGTATTCATGTTTTATTCACAATACAAACTGTGTATAGCTCCTATAGGTGAATTAATTCCCTTAGTCTTAATGTTGGATTTTATGTTGCTTTTCTTTCCAGATCCAATGCAATCAGACATTAGAAGTTAACAAATGACTCCTCAGCCATTCTTCTTCCCCATATCAGATGTTAGCATCAACACCTTGTTCCTTCACGTGAAACGATGACAGGCTCTGTGTGACCTTTCCAAACAGTCAGTGATGTGTCAGAGATCTTTGTCACTAATTGTGTGTCATTTTGCAAACAAAGGACCATGAACACCTCCTGTACAAAGCTCCTGCTGGCAGATCATCCATGAAGAGCTCTTCATTAAAGGTAGTGATCTTTGATTCGATCTCCGCTGAACTCAGCTCATCTCATGTGTGCGAAATAGTGAAGTGTTGAAAACACAAATGAAGACACACACACACACACACACACACACACACACACGAATAGTTCATACTTCTATCTTAGTGAGGACACTCACCCTAACCCTATTGACATAATACATTCCCTAGCCCCTTACCCTAACCTTAACCATCCAAACTAAAGGCCTAACCATACCTGTAACCTAATTCTAACCCTACAACCAAGTCTTAACCCTCAAACAGCCCATTGAAAGAGTGAGGACAGAAATGTCCTCTCTCTGTAGGGTCGATGCTTTAAATGGTCCTCTCAAAGAAGTACAGAAACATTCACACACACACACAAATCGTGTCTCCATGACTTCAGAGGACATTACTTTGACTTACACTGATATCATGGAGACTTACTCTAACCTTAGTTATAGTTACTATTTACTGAAACCTAACCTTAACCTAACCCTAACCAAACCCTAACCCTAACCTAACCAAACTAAACCCAACCTTAACCCTAATCTAACCAAACCTTAACCCTAACCTAACCCTAACCTAAAACTAACCCTAACCTAAAACTAACCCTAACCTAACCAAACCTAACCAACCCTAACCCTAACCTAACCAAACCTAACCCTAACCTTAACCAAACCTCACCTAACCTCAAAACATGTATCCACCTGATGTGCATGATGGGGACTTGCTTCCCGTCCACATAAGGAAGACAGGACCCGATAATGTGAGTGTGTAAACAGGTTTGGGTCCCTACAACATGAGTAATACCTGAGCCACGCACAGTCTGTGTTGGCAGAGAGATGATGGTGGTTTGCTCTGGTGCCATAAACACCACAAACACAGACAATCTGTTTCCTTCTCCATCATCATCATGACTGAGCTGCTGCACCAACACTCACTGACAACAAAGAACATACAAAACACATTGTAACCTAGACTCCAACATATCCAGCTGCACTGAACCTCTGCTGTTCTGCTTGTGTTCACTGCAGCCTTGTGTTCTGGTCTTTGTGGCACAGACGAGCTCTCAGCCATGTTACAGTTCGTGTGAAACTAGCGTGTGCGTGTGCACGGTGAACTGCGCTGGTTTAATGTTTGTTTTTCCAACTCGATAAAAACACCCACCTCCTTCTTGACGGTGCGCAGCAGCTTCTGACGAGTCTCTGCCTCTGGAACACAGTCACACACAGTTGTTAACAGTCTCGCTGCGTCGGATCGCCACAACACAAACACACGTTAACGATGTTACATGTTTGAAGACGTGTTTCTGTTCCCACCTGCCATGATTGTTGCCATGGATCCTGTCTCCAGCCTGCGAGCAGCTCCCCTCCCATCAGCTGAGTGGCGCTTGTTCACAGAGATGTGGCTCACGACTACACCTCAGCTTTACACACGCCCCTTAAAGACACACACACACACACACA